TGAGACCGAGAAAAAGAGAAAATATGACCCACTTGCTAATAACTTTGGATTAGAGATGAAATGCAGGACCAAAATAATTCCGTACATGATGACTTGGGATTGTAACGAACTTCCACAAACGCTATGCGAAGAATAGTATATCAGACCACGTAGAAGCATACACCCAATCGATAGTTCTCAAGAAAACGCTCGAAAGCATCTCCTTCAACAATCGTTAGAGATTCCAGGAGGACGAAGCGAGAACGATGATACAACAAATCTGAGCGCAGAACAAGAACTGCCAGAGTGCGGGAATGCGATCCAGCGCCAGAACTAATAAAGTTAAGATTAAAACTAACCTCAATATTTCTAAAAATTATATATATGTAGTAAACATAAGTTAAAATTTTTTAAATGATAATTCCAGTAAATTCAATATTACTTATATGTGACAGTTTCATATTAAATAGTAAATTCTTTGATATTATGATATACTGTTACTGTTACATATTGTGACTGTTAAAGCCAGTGTTCTGAGAGGAAAATTGGGAATACAATATGGATTTACCTACTTGATGTCTAAAAAATATAAAACTACATTGCCAACTGCATCATTTCTTTTCTCTTCACAGGCCTTTAAGTTCTGAATGACATTCAGATTCTATTGTTTACCTAAGAGTCAAGCTTTCAAATATCCAAACTTTATTACTTACCTTACCAACAATTATAAAATATTGCGCTAACAAAGAAAACAAAACCAGTCAGCACATGATCTGTTTGTGGATACATATTTTCGCAGAGATTAAGTGTATGCTGCTTGCTTCTTAGGTTTTACTTTGATAATATCTCAATTGGAATCGAACTTTGAACAGTTTATGTCTATATTCCCAGGAAAATAAAAAAATAGCTAATGACTATCAATTTCACTTCAGCAATTGATTGAAAATTTATTAACTGATAATGTTATTAAAAATGTTATCAAATTAAATATGTTATGAAAAGGAGTAGGTATGAGAAATTTTTTTAATTGAATGAAATAAAGTAACTCATCTCTTATCAAGAAAATTTGCTCAGTTATAAATGAAAAGATTTGATGTTCTGTGAAAAATATATTAAGTTACGTTTACCCACTAGAAAAACTAAGTTATGCCACCAACTGACGTTGCAATCATTTCAGGACATACGATGCGTTTTCAAGTGTTGATTGCAATATTTTTTGTTTTGGAATATCAAAACTACATTTATGACTTAAGTATGAACACTTAAAAATAACCTAACGCATTACCTATACTAGAAAAGGAGTTTGAATGAAGGCAACGCTTCTTGCTACTGTTTAACATAAATTGAACAAAACAAACCTAAATAATCTAATCTAAAAACCATCTTCTCGCTCTTTATATTTCAGACTAAAACTGCTTGCTAGTAGATAATTACAAGAGGAAAAATGCAAACCGGAAGATGAAGAATAGATTTCGAAGAAAAAGATGGCAAATCCAAGCTGAAAAGTTTGAAGATTTTTCAAAATCGATGACCTTCAAGTTTGTTGCAAAACCCTGTAAAGACACTCAATCTTGAATCTCATGTCTAGAAGCGTGTATTTATTACTGCGATACATCATGCTTTATGTACTGCCATTTGAAACTGATATCAGCAACACTGAAAAACCAAATATAGACAAGGTTAACCAAAGAACTTCAAACTGAAACGATGGCAATTCTTGAAATTTAATTCAGCATATACAACTATTTGTGTGCACAATCCTTTCAATATTTTCCCCTAAAACAAGATTAGCCTCCTAAAACTGTTATTATTCCATACAAAAGTTATGAAACAAAAGCTAATGGAATTTGAAGTGTGCAAACATGGATTGAGCCAGCTGTCTTTCACGCAGTAAATAGTGAATGCTGCATTCGTACAAGCCATGCCAAGATCAAAGGTAGTGCAAAATGTTGAACAACATACTGTGATTTATGTTTGAATGAGTAAGATACAAAGAACGCTATAAATGGTAAATTATTTGCTTTCTTTTTCACTGTAGTATGCAATACACGTAGCAGATAATGCAACCTTAGCTACCTCTCGGTGTTTCTGCTCGAAAGATCAAATTCACCAGTGTTAACTGATTTCTTCTCATTATTAAAAGTCTCTTTCTCACCTTCTGTGAACAATATCGTGAAATAACGCTGCAATCAAACCAACGGCAATAATTTATTTTGATTTGATAGCTGCATTATCGCATCAAATCACTACTATTACTCAAATTAGAGAAAGAGCTTGAACTGATCAACGTCACAACTCGTACTTGAGAAACAGATTTACTTGAGAAACAAGTTGAAAATAAGCAAAAATATTCATCAATTTACGCCTATACGCCCTGAGTTTCAGAACTTTGGTTAAGACTGGAGGACGTTTTAATTGGTATTCATGTTGTCGAACCTGTTAACTTTTATTCATTCCTAATTTGATCTACTACCATTTGTTTGACTACATCCATCTTTTAATTTGATGAAAATCTCGGTATTGTATAAAAGTCCAACAACATTATGGTAGTAAATCTGTATATAGTGATCATGTTAAACCACAATTTTTTGAAAGAGTCATATGTAAGAACTGTTGAGCACAATTGCACCAATAAAAAAGTAATTACTTGAAAATTTTATTTAAATTTCATAGACATATGACTCTCAACAGTGACTACATTAAGCTCCCTTAAATCTGAGCTTCTTCCTTGTAGCTACATTATTAATATAACTTTTAATAATGTAGCTTCATTAACTGCAGCATATTAAGGTCACAATGAAAATGCAGGGATTTGTGCATTTGGTGTCGTGCCACTTCAGTGGAAGGAAGAATGGTTAATGAAGCTACATTTGAACTGTGCATGAAATGGTGCCAACATCAATTCATACCATCAGTTTCTCATTGATTAATAAACCGCAATGCATTGCTATCGCTTTTTCATCAATATTGACGTAACTAAAAAAATCGCATAGGAAATAAAGTTATATTAAAATCGAGCTTAATTATCAAGCTCTGACATTAAGTACTTTTGGATGAAGCATAAGACATATTTTATCTCTTACTCCTCTGAACTTCGTTAGATATAAATAACTTTCGTTGAAACCGCACCATATAGAAGTTGAAGGTTGTTCAAAAGTGCTTTACCCATTCACACAAAATCATTAATGGATCTGTGATCTGAGCTATCAATTCTCTGAACCAATCCAATTACCTAATCGAGCGTATTTAGAGCTAAATTATTGTTCAGTTTGTTCCATAAGATAGTACGATAAAATTATTGTGTAGGAAAATATTTGAAACCACTGAAGGGCCAGTTTTAATTATAGACTTGTTTTTGAGTTCTCTTCAGTCCTAGATCGTTTTGAGCAAGAGAGGATGCTTACAGACAAACACTTATCAACGTCTATTCAGTATGATAATAAATCGAATGATCCATTAAATGTTGGAGGCGCTTAGCGAAGGCACTATCTAAAAAAACTCTGATACCACTATGAAAACAATTTTTGAGATCAAAGTTGTAATTTTTACGCAAATGCCTCTTATTTCATTTCTTACATGAGATGTGAAAGAATTTCTACATTATATGAGTTCAATTCCATTATTGAACAATCTTTAATTATTTACATTTATTACAAAAACAAAACTCAATAAGAGAATTATTTCACAAACTTAATGTTTTGATGAAGACATTGGAAATGGAAACATACTACAGAATATAGTCTCTATTATTACAATTAAAGTAAGAACAGAAGAAATATTCTTTGCTACAAATCACACTTATTTATCCTACTCATATCTCAAAATGAATGCAGAGATGAAATATGCTGTAATCTTGAGATATAAGAGAGCAGCCAGCCACAATTAAAAAAGTTGAACAATAAGAAACATTTATTAATTACTAGTAATCGTCATAAAAGTATGTACAAATAAAAAAACACACACAAAAGAAAGCATACTACAAAATACACTCTCAATTATCACATATTTATTCACCACTTCATCAAAGTGGTGATATACTTGTAGCAAAAAAAGTTGTAAAAGTTAAAACCTAATACCATTTGCAAAAACTTTTATTTATTTCACTTGCTCGAACAAGGATCGAACTGAGGACCGTATGCTGCTAAGTCATACCATGTTTTTCGGCCACAACCACAAAAGTTCAATCTTGCGACTACGAAGTTCGTGAGAAACTACAATTAGAATACGTAAGCCTAAATTTAAAAAAATAATTGATTCTGAATTCTCGTGAAAATAATACAATGAATTCTAAAAGGTAAAATAAATTTTAACACAACTGGCTAAGCAAGCGAAGTCAAAAATAAATCTTACCTCATATTTGGTCCACTTCAATTACCTTCGCTAATAATAGTGCTAAATATTCTGGAGCATCAGCTGAGAACAGGAAGATGACTTGTATATCACTAGATCTTGTGGTTCACTTGAAATATGAAGAGTGCTCTGCTGGCATACTTAAATATATCGCGGGCATTCTTCAATCAGTTCCTCTTCATTAATGGAGCTGCGTATGCCATTCATCGAAATTAAGCACTCCCAAGTTTACGGCAAACCTCGCTTTTCATTACAGATTGAGAATACAGGAATCGTTAATTCTACCAATTTATGATTTTTTGGTTTCTCGTTTTCCGAGCAGCACTTTTTCTTCCCAAAATTCTTTCTTTGTGAAAACTTTCCATTTCTCCCAGTAATGTTACGATTTTTTACCGCATAAAAATACTGGGAGTGAAAAACGCCGACTCAGCAACGTCTATGTTTCTCCAAACCTCTTGGCCTTCCATTCTTCACAACGTCAAACCGTTACTTTTAACGAAAAACGGAACCGCGACTCAGATTTTTCTTGCTCTGCTGTTCGAGCTTCTTGATTCACTGTTCGAGTTGTTCGAGTCTTCATTGTTCGAGTTGTTCGAGTTTTCAGAAATTTCTCCTCGTCCAAAGACTTTTTCTTTTTTTTCTCGAGAATAGTGCTGCGAATTTTCTCCACAGGAATGTTAAAAGTGGAGATTTGGACGCAGCACGCACTGAATTCGTGTTTTCTCAGATTTCCAGACTTAAACTTTTCACAACGTGTGGCCATGTTGAGTAAGAACCACGAATTTAACATCCAAATCCTTTATACGGATCCCACATTTCTTGAGTCTTCTAGGTGCTCCATTTTCTTTATCTTTCGTCATCTCGAAAATTTTTCTTATTTTTAAATAATAATGCTGTTGACCTCCTTCGCAAGAATTATAAGAATGGAGGTACTAACACAGCTTGCACACAATCCATGTTTGCTAGTTTATCGAGCTTTCTATATAATGTTGATGAAAGGCATACCATCCTTCCAACCGTTTTAACACCACACACATTCCTATTCATGCTGTTGAAAAGCGCAACGCACTTGATATCACGTGTCAGAAGGCGCAACGTATTTATCTTCTCCTGTTGCTGAGCTTTCTATATTCTATATTCTCACTGCTCTTCTCCTTGCTCCTTTCCTTTCTTTGTTTTGAATACTGTTGCGGAACTTCTCCATATGTATCATAGCAATGGCACGCATGAAATGCACGTTCTCTCAGACTTCTAGGATTTGCTCACTGTGGACGAAGGAATCTGAAGTAAAGAAGTCCTTCGTCCATCTTGATGACGTATAACGACGTGTGAGTACTCTGAAATACAATATGCACTGAAAATTTTTCACCAAACAGAATCAATGCTGTCAGATACTAACAATATCCTACTAAATTTCAATCAACATGACTAAGTGATATGCCGTAAGTTACAATAAAGAATCTAGCTAGAATCTTGAGAAGAGCAATTGTGTACAGTAAACCTAAGGAGATTAATGTAGCTATAAGCAAATATCCATATAAGAGCACTACCACCAATTACCCTTCCTGCAACGCTTCACAGAAACATGAAATGAGTTTAAAGCATGACATCACTGATTAAAAATTGACAGAAATGCGTTGCACAAATGAGTCTTAATGACAATGGAATCTCAAGCCAAAAGTTCAGAACTTGACTATGCAACTTTTTTGGAAGCTGCATGTGGTTTGATATTGAAATGGTGGAATATTAGAGCGGTGTTCACAACGTGAAAACATTATGCTTATGTCATAAGAATCTATTTCTGTATTGGTCTTATTCATATTTCCATTTTCTGATTTACTCTTTGATTTTATTTGATTGCTGAAATCAGATTTTTTTCTTGACTTATTCAACGTTATTATTTTGGGTAAATTAGGAATTATACTTCCAATAGTACTGTTCACTTCTTGCAAAGATTTTTTATCGTTTGATCTTGAGAAGGCACAATTTTTACATTTTACTATTTCCATTGAATACATTCTACTGAATACTGAACATCTGGGAACCGAATTTTGAAAAGTAACAGCAGTATGTTGACACTTTTATAAATTCATCTATCTAGGTAATTTGTCTTTCGAATTGTAGTTTAACTTGCCACGTTTTTTGATGATTCGAAAGTTAGACTGAAATACTGGTAATTCTAAGATAAATTAATATAAATACGAAAGTTTCCTTGTGCTTAATAACAAATTTTTACAGATATGTGCAAACTACTTGCGAGCAACAGATCAAATCATTTATAAGTTATGATGAATTTTATGAATTTATTGTTTTGCATAAGCATTTTTCAATCAAAAATGACTTAAATAGCATGAAAATATGCAAGTGAGAGAACAGTAACGTAAACCAGACTACTGAAAATACTTAAAAAGCCACGTAAGTAAAAATGGGCTCTGAAAACATATCTCATAGTTTTTTAGCAAGCAAAAGGTAATACTGAATTAGAAACATATAGCCATTACAGTTAATGAAAACTGTTGATGCCAATCAAAATATCTTTTTATTACCATTGAAAAAATCCAAAATTTATTTAGACTGATTCAAGAAACTGAACTGAAAAATTTTTTACAAACCTTTTCTGCAAGAAATGTTAAATTGCAATAAGTAAAGAGCCTTATCTTGATCTAGCAGTTTATTTTTGCAAAGTTATGAAGCAATGGATAACTAATGCTTAGCTTTCAGTGAACTTTTCCTTTTATAGTGATACTTTAAACGGGAGAGTAAATTTTTAATCTTTGCAAAATTTCTTGTTAAGATCGAAACTTGTCTGATCTACCTACCACTCGTCATAATGTTACTCCACACAAATTATCAGATCTGTCGGATTAATTGCAATGAATAATTATTGCACGTGAGTAAATTGCACGCTCGAACCATCACTACTTCCTTTCAATTTCCATCATGCGATTTCATTTTTTATATGTAGAAAATATAATGTTGTTCAGCAAAACCTATGGTTGTATTTTAAAAGCACAGTTACAACGGTTCTAATCAAAAATTATGTCAAATATTTGGAGGAGAAAATTCACGTGTTGATTCTTTGTTTCTAAAACGGGATATTGGAATAAATGAAGCGTTGAACTATTGCAGTACTGACAACCTAGCCTTCATAACTTGTTAAAAATTCTTAAAAATGCTGTGGTTCATAGGTAAACATAGTTTTATCGAAATCAGAATTGAAATTATTTCCAATTTGACCAAATTATAACGAAATTAATTGCGTCTCTTAAATCTGTTTTTATTGCTGATTATTTTGATTTTCTATCATTTGGCGTAAAATCATATAAGTTATGCTATTTACTACAGATTTTTGAATTTTTTTAAATGGTAAAATGGTGCAGGTTTAGTAGTTTGATAGAAATCCAAATCTCTTTTTTATTACTTACAACGTGAGCACCAGATTATAACAGTTCCTTAATATATTAGATATGAATAATTATTGCAAAAATAAAACTAAGTTGTCACAAAAATTGTTTGCAAAATAGTTCCATTGGTTAGTACAATTAAAGGCAATATGTGATTGTGATTGCAATTTTCAAAATTAATACCACTTGAAATTTTATGAAAAATGTATGATTACAAGTGTTCTAGCTTTTAATGAAGAATACCAACAATAAACTCGAGGTTCCCAGTAAACGTTTTTTTTTTAAATTCATTCACAAAAGTAATCCACTGTTATCCAGTGCTTATATCATTACTCTTGTAATGATAATTTTATCGTTATTTTGACACGAATAACAATTACTTTTGAACGTAGTTGCAAAATTCTTCCTTCCGCTTCCCTAGTCAAACTTGCCGTCATTAAAAATAAACATGGGTTAAACGAGAACGTAGTGCACTCTCCACCGCCAATGGATCCTGAAAATCGTCGTCTCATATTTGGTTTCAAGTTGACGGTCGTGAAGCTTTAAACATGTTAACAGAGCCCCTGAGAATTTACGACAGTGAAATTAGAAAGTGTGAGTCCCATTCAAAATTCAAAACGCCAGATTTGTGAAGTTCAAAAAGCGTTTCTACAGAAATCTAAACAAAGAAGAGCTTGTCAGCCATAACGTGGGAACAAAATAAATCAGGGAATTTCAGGGTCCAATGTGGGAATCGGGAATGTGAATGAAAAATGATATCTGGCACAATGAATACCTGAAAGATTTTGTTTTAGATTATGAAGTACATGATACATAATAAGGAATTTAGTGAAGGTTTGACACTACCTGTTATAACGTATAATGCACAAATCAGCGGAATTTTCGTTAATCTTCAACATTTAAAGTGTTTTAGATTTTATAGAACTGAATTTTATTTGTCCTTGTCTACATGGTTCTTGTTGCTCTTGGCTGAATTCCTCAGACTATCTAAGACTAGCTTTTTTCCACACAAATCTTAACTGCGTTTCTTCTTGATTCCAACTACAAAACTTGGAAAACTTTAAGTGATATTATTGAATGAACGTGCGATCGAATCCCTGAATGCTACATTGTTTCTCTTCAATTGCGGTTTTGCGAGAAATATTTCATTGATCAATTGAATAATGACTGAAAATTATATCTTCCATTTACATAGCAAAAGTATTTGCCAGTAGCTTTCTTCTTATTTGCATGAAAAATTGTTAAATTAACCTCTTTTTTCAAATTTCCAAACTGCAATATTGAGTGCTCGCATACAAAGCAATCCATGGATGTGGTTGTAAAACTCGTTTTCTAAATGAAGCCAATTATTGAAAAAAAACAAATGCTTTGCCATTCGAATTCTCGAAAATTTAAGACTGAAAGTTTTACAACAAATGAGATAATCATGAAAGCAACCAAGCAAATCTTTGAAATATTCTGAAATTTAAATTGTATCTGTCAATGATCGCTACAAATTTACCAGCAACATACATTGATAACTCAAATATGCAAACATGCAGTTATTGACATCAGAAAATTAAGTAATCTGTTTGAACTTGAAACTTGCATTCCAAGCTTAAGATTGTTTGTCAGGTTCATAATTCATATCACATAGTTATGAACGCTATATAAAACCTTTACTACTTGAGTAATTACTGTGGCCTCACACTCACATCGTAACGTTACTGAGAGCATTTTAATTTTTTCCTCATGAAAATTGCTCACAAAGCTGAAAATTGGGCAACAGGCAACTTTTTCATTGAATTTGATTTAGCACTAGATTCTTTTTTTTTAGATGACATACTATGTTGAATGTATTGATGTAACGGCAGAAATTTATGCATATTTCTCAAATGATGAGAAAATTACAAGTTCTTTCCAGAAATATTTTTTCTACTCAAAGTTCGACTTTTGTTTCCTAACAAATGATAAAATTTAAGTATTTCTAGAAAACTGTAGTTCTTCCAGAAGATCAAATTACTACATTTACAACTTTTGAACTTTCGAGATCAAAAAAAATGACATAGTTATCATTCTTGCAATTTCATTCATTTTAACTTCGTTCTTGAGTGTAACGAAATCAATTATTTTTACAGTAAAGAAAATGTCCTGTGCTTCTATTTAATTACACGTTTATCTGGGATTACACGTTCATTTTGCAACAAATCACTCTGACAAGCTTGTTTTTCAGGTATTCTTAAAAATTGTTTTTCAGGTATTCTTAGCATAAAGATATTTTTTAAGTAAATAATATGGATATTGCGATAAGATATTTCCATTACATGTTGTAATCATATGGCAAAAGGCATGTAAATACATAACTACAATAAATTTTTTTGCCTTCCTAATTCTTGTTGGTTTTCATCATGCGCATCATTTTTTTACTTATAAGCTTAAATTCTGAACTCAGTGACTAGCATCTTTAAATACATAAAGATATTTTTCAGGTGGATAATATGGATTCTAATCAGAAAGAAAAAGACATGGAAATAGAGACAGCACTAAATTCGAAGCAAGATGTATTTCTTTATTTCTTTGAATAACAATTTTGCTTGAATTTTGCTTTTCAAGACAAACAAAAGCAGTAATATGATGTGTGTTGGGTAGAATTGATACATTCATATCGTGAACTAAGCTATTACAACATTTGATGATCTAAGGGATCTTGCACATTTAAATGGTCACATTTTTCAGTTTGTAATATCTCATGAATTAAAAGTCTATTATTTTCTATTTAAAATGAGTTTAAAAATCAGTGCTATAACAATTTGTAGCTTAACTGTGTTGGACAAAAAGAAAATATAATATAGTAATAAAAAAAATATAGCTTAAAATAAATTTTCTTTACACTATAGATAATAGACGCTACTTTTGAGATTTATACTACTGGAGTTAGCAGTTTCTTTATTTGATTTGTGAAGAAAGGCAATTTTGAGGACTTGGAACAGAGTTCAAGCTCCACGTTACCAGCCGACAATGATAAGACTAACTCCGATTATCAGCGAACCTTAGAAAAAAAGTATTCTTTATCGACTTTGGGCCAAAAAGATTGTGAGTACGAAGGATGGCCGAAACTATTTGATCAACCATTTGGGATTTCTTTTTGGAGAGTTAATCTTTTCATTTGATAGAGAACAAGGCTTTTCTATAAATAACAGTAAAAATGAATTTTAAATTGAAAGTGTAAAGTCAAGTACAGTACATAAATTCGAAACAATACGAATAAGTTTGATGAGGTTCATGCCTTAGCTAATAATTCTGTAGAAATGGGCTTTAAGAGTTGTTAATTCATTGGAATGAGGTAATATATTCATGGCAAAATTTTTCAGTACATAAAATTTAAAAAATTCTTTAAAGTATATTATATTTACGGTCTCCTTTTGTATTTGCTTTACATTTTGTTTTCAAAGGATGCTATTGATGATGAAGAGACGGCAAAGGATCGTTTTGAGGAATGTTTGAAATATCAGTGGAAACGCTGTTTCCGAAAAACGTTAGTTCAATTTACCAAAGTTGTACATCTATCCATCAGAAATTATTAAAAATTAAAGTGTATCGTTTTTCACTTTTATTCCTAATCAAATAATTCAAATCAAGAGCAATTAAGGAATTGTTACAATGTAAAAGTCTTAAAACACAATTCAATGATAAAATATAAACCAGCTAATACATCATAGTTTTTGTAAAACGCAATAACAAAATTTAAGTAATTCCTTTGCAATACGTATTAATGCTCAAAATGTATTTTCAAGTTTTCCTCTTAGTTTCGGACTCTAAACATCCCAAATTTTCAAAGAGCTATTTGTAAATGAGAAAAAGCATTTTTTATTTTTTTACTTTTTTTTAAAAATATCAGTTTTCAGATATCGCGGAATGGTAGAAGATTTTTACGTTTATAAAATACGTCGCATTATTGAAAGAGATCGTAGCAATAATTTTGAACTGGTAATTCTATTTCATTTCATAATTACTCGAATGTTTTCAATAGGTTAAAATTACAATAAATTTCGATTTGCAAAAATAAGCTAATTACCTAATAAACATTAGCTGACCAAGTCAAAATGTTGATCAGTTAATTCAGTATTTATACTTATTTCAACAAAGTACTAACTAGTCACACTAAAGTTTTTAGTTTATCTTTGATGGTACTGATCAATTTATCCAGGATATCGCTGAAATATTACTTTTGGTTAAAATTGAGTTATTTGTCTCGAAAAACAATATTAAGCACTAACACTGTTGTGTTTTTTAGAAAAATGTTCTTAATGATATAGAAATTCCTAATATTGTGCTAATCAAAATCTTTGAAAAACTGCACTGGTTAGAACAAGATATACTGCGCACAAAATTACGATCAAATCGATGGAAATCATTAGCGGCCTTACTAGAAAAAGCTGAAGCTAATTATTTTATGGATAAGAATTCGTATAAATATGCAATACGAAACATAGATCTGGTTATTTTCTATGCTTTGAGAAGTAAAACATTATTTTATACTACAAATGCAGGGAAGCAATTTTTGCATATGTAAGCTGATGTGACCATTAAAAAAGTAGTGTGATTCATAATTTGAGGTTAGTCACAAAAATCAGTGACAATTATTAAGGTGATTTTATGGACGAAAAATTATTTCTGGCAAATGAAAACAATAGTATTTTGAAGCTGGAGAAAAGTATTTGTCAATTTAGATGGATAAAAAACTTCAAAAACTGTGTCTCACATTTGCAAACCACCCTGAGCCTCAAAAGTGTCAAGACTTTTCTGATAACTCCACGCAACTTTTGGATGAATCTGATATCAGAATCATGTTGAAATGCTTCTGCAACACGAAATGCTGTTTGAATTTGTGTGTACTTGATGTTGGCTGTTTGCTAGGTAGACGGCTTCAGTTAGTGCTGAAAATATTAGTATATTACTATTAGGTAACATAAGAATAGTGATGCTAAAATACAACAAGTTTGTTTGAATTATAAGTGGGTCACTGGTATTTGTTTTTCATTGTGATCCGTATTTGCCAATACACTGTCAGGACGAAACAGTAAATTTTTACAATTATAGAATTAGTTTGAAAAAAATTGTGCCTCAATCACTGTAATATTATTATTTTAAAAACTGCTATATTTTAGCTTTGTTGAATTTTTATTCTAATTTCAGAATATATCACGAATGACTCATTGGCACGTGGATTTGTAATTGCATTCAGAAATATAGAATTTTTAAGATTCCAGTCACCAAAAAGAGTATGTTTCAAGCAAATGCTAATGCTTGTTGATCAGCTAAATGTTCTTGTGGTCAAAAAAGATCACTCTTCAATTTTAATAAAGTTATGAATTCTAACATTATTGTTCTTTTATTTTTTTGTTAGATGTTCTAATTTTAGGATAGGGATATTTATGATGCAATATTCAGTCATATCAAACTGAAAAAGTTGAAAACAGTTGTCGTATTACCTAATTATTTAAAAGAAGACTTGAAACTACAAGAACAAAGAATGTCTGGCACACCTAGGAATACTACGAGAAGGGCACTTAATGAACATATGTCTAGGACATTCCGTTTAAAGCCATATTTCCTGCACAGTCTTAAGGGTTTTGGTTTTAAACAAGATCGCTTTGCAACATAGTACGGTTTACTACTTATACTAGTAGATTTTATATGTATATAAACTGACTAAAAGTTGCATTATCAGCTACATTTCAAATCGTATTATCGATAATCATAATCAAGATGAAATTGCAAAAATGAACTGCAAGAAAAAGCTCTGTCATTCTGCTATTTTTCAGTACCACAGGATACGAGTTTGCTTTCGCAAATGTTGAAGAATTATCAGTGGGCATTGCTTGGGACCAAAATATTTTTCTTTGCATTGAAAATTGTCGCAAGTTGAAGTATTTGAATATTGATGTGACAGCTCCATTTAAAGAAAATTTAACAAATGACGCTTTGATAAGAATTTTTTTTTCTAGAGTAATGATATTCTTTTGTCAACTAAAAAATATCTATAAAGCTTTCGAAAACAACTTTAATGTACAATATATTGCGGCATTTTAGAAACTTCAGCAAATATAATATGAAACGCAAAGTCTTGAAAATTGCGACAATTTTCCAAAAAATTGAAAAACTTTCACTTCATAAAAATTATGAAATAAAATGCTTCTTTTCAGCTTCGTCGTACGTTAGAACATCTTCATTGCCGTGCAGTATCGGGTCAGCTTTTTCTCGCTAATTTGACAGGTGGTATAGCTTCTATTTCGCGCAGATTTACTCACTGCACTCTTCGGTGTATAAAATTATCTGGATTTATCTCCGACGAAATTCTTGATGCTATGATTGCCGAGTAATTATTTTCTCTGTAATTTCTTTCTTAACTTTTTTGAAAGTTTTGTATTTAATTTGGATAAGCAAATTTAATATTTTTATTGAAAAAATTGAACTGCGTATTATTTTGGGAAAACGCAAAATTCAATAATTAATTTTAAAAAGTTTGATTAAAACTATCTTATTCTAATTGCACTGCTTCTATTACTGTTTGAACTGATATTTATGTTGACAAGTTTGAGTAAAACTCTTGGCATGCATCACATTAAACTGCATTTATATTTTTATTTGATATGTACTTGAGTCAACAAAATGGTGTCATGACAAAATCTTTCAGATGTCGCTCACTTGAAGTCTTGAGTTTTAATACAAGGCAGAGCAATTTTGAAGTACTGCGATCTTTGAGGTTAACCACCGTTATTTGAAGTTACAATGATCAGCACTTATGGTGAAAACCGAAAGTCATATCTTAAAAAAGTTTTTTCAAGCTTACAATTTACAGAAACTTAAGATTTCTGGATATTGAAGACTATTGGAATAATTTTTTTGAGTTCATACGATCGCTAAAAGATGGAGATTTACCAAAATTAGCTTTCCTGAGACTCCGCTTAATGGTAAGCGTTTATCAACACTTTAATTGATAAATATCCCGTATTACTTTTAGCAGCTTGCTATTTTAGATATGACCATTAATCAATTAATGTAAGTAGTCCGTTAATACTTTCAGTTGTTTGCTTCCTTTTCTGCAAACGAAAATTTTTCACAAAACCGTAAATATTCCGTAAATGTTTTGTAATATTCAAGATCTGTGACTAATGAGAATTAGCAAATAATTTTGTTGGCTACATTAATCAAAAATATTGCAGGATGAAGCCGATAAAGCTGAATTTACCAAAATTAAGGCAAAAAGTCATGTTGAACAGACGAAAAATTATGAGCAAAGTGAGGGTTTATTGGCGGTCAATTTGTAACTGCAAATTTTACTCTCATGAAAATTTAATTGATTCTATAAAAATGACAAAGTGATGAAGACAATAACTTTGATATGATTGAACCATTACTTCTATAAGAAACGAATTTGAAATGCATAGTTCTTAATCACATTTTAATCATAATGTTTTCAAGCAAAAGAAGAACAAAGACAGTTTACCCCTCGCACAGTCACGAGCCAAGACTCTGCACCTCAAAAAATGAAAGCAAGCAATATATTAGAGGAACCAGAAAAGGTGATATTATAGTCTAATTCACACTGTCTTTTTTAATAACACAGGGTTTCCAATTGATCTTTCAGTATTTTGTTGAACAAAGTATTTGTAAATGTCTCTTTGATTAAGAGATTGAGCATATTAAGAGTATTAAAGCTAATATTTTTAATACGCTTTATTATTTTGAATATGCTCAACAAAGCTAAGAAGCTTTATCACTTTTTTTTGATTTCATAAAATCAGCGTGAAGCTTTCTCACTATATTCACTCTCGTAATCGAAAAATTTATTTGGCACCATTCTATAACTTTAAAATATTAAGTAGCAATTTTACAATTCCAGAGCGTATGTCATTTGATACCATTATCTACTCATCGTCCTTGGCTATATATAGCAGTACATCGGTACCAAGTATACCATGAAAAGCCTGGTTGGGTATTTGCTGATGGCCAACTTCTCAAAGCTCAGTACTTCTATCCGTGTCGAAAAATAGCAAGCATGTGGACGGAGTTCCAAGACATGGAAGGATTTTGCTGCATGGAAGATCGCTGTTTGAAGGAGTTTCCTCTTTCCAGTCTAATTAACAAATAATCTTGATATACTCAAAAAAACTTTATAATATTGAATACCAGTTTCTCTGTGTCTCTTCTTTATAGCAATTTTAGTTCAACGATACAATGTTCCACATTACAATGCTTTGTGACATGATTAATATCTCATTTTAAACTCATTTTTGCTGCATTTATTATAGCACTTGCTATGAATAACCAACAAAATCTTTTACTTTTTTTTTCCTGAAAACCTTGAAACGAATTTGTAGAGAGCTTAGTAAAAGCTTTATTTAAGTCATCCATTATTTATTGGATAGAAACTTATTTATTGAATAGAAATGTTTTTTGACTAGCATCATTCCTCTACAGTTAGAATTTTTTGGAGCTTAGTTTTAATATAGTTTCTCCATCTGCCTTTGCAGATAATCACAGATTATTGTGAAGATGTCAGATGACTGAAATATCAGCAATGCTCTTCATGATAAAGTTAAATAGATTTGGAATTTTGATATACTATTATTACAGTAATCTTTCAGAGAGTAGTTCAGCTCCTACAAGATGTTATAGATGTTAATATACATTCATAGTTGCAGAAGTAATGAATCTTGGAAAAAATTACTTCGAAAGTATGCCTTTGATTTGTTGTTTTGTTTTTTCGATGATGAATGCGATTATAATTTTATTAGCGGTGAAAATGAAATTGTTTTTAAATATGAATGGTCATGAAGTCAATCGAACAAAAAATTAATCCATTTGAGAAAATTATCTAGGAAAAATATGATGAGCATAAAACATAAAGGCTATTATGGTTCTTTAAAGTTAACTGCTAACATTATTTGTTCAAGTATTCCTACCATTTACATGAAAACAATGGATTGACGGGTTATACATACAATTAAAGATAATCAAGCCCATCGTTGTGCCACGAATACGACGAATGCTTGCTGCTTTTTGCGTCAAAAGAGAACATTTTCCCTCACTTTTCTTACCTTTGTACCCTTAGAATAAGTCTGATCGCAGGCGTAGTTAGCATTTCAAGCACTACTTTCACTGATATTCTTTTTTAGATCCTGTTTCATTTCTTCATATGATTAAAAAAATCGCAATACTGTAGGAATTCGTTTGTGGTATTGATATCTTGATAAAATTCATGTCCTCAATGAGATTATTTTTCAAAGATTTTTGTCCAGTTTCTTACCATTGTCAGCAATGGTTGATATTTATGTAAGTGAAGCAATTCATTTCTAACGCTTCTTGTTGGCTTTAGCTACCATTTTATAATTAAATGGTGCATTAGTTGGTATTACATTAGTAATCCTACACATTAAATACTATGCACAATATGCTGTTGTACAGAAGATACAGAAAAAACGTCTTCACTGTAAACATTTGAACACAATGAAAAAAACAGGTGTAATTTTATTGGATTGAAATCAAGACTGCAATTTTTCTTCGGTCTTCCTTAACCTCTATGAAGAAAAAAACAGATTACTAGCGATAATAACTAAAGAGAGAAACAGAGTACGTAGTGCAAAATGACAAGAAAAGTGAGTAGTACTTCAATTTTTTTTAATACGAAAATTTAACAAAAGAGTACGCAGTTTAAATACATGGGATATTTTGTAGCAATGAATGTTAAAGAGATAGAATTAAGTATCGCCACTATGGTTTAATATGTATGTATGCACAACGTGACCAAATAGTCACTTGGTAGTAGTAGTAGTAAGCCCTTTGCTCAGCACTACCAGCTCACAATCCACTCACTCACTCCCTTTCACTCCCTCCCTCCCTCTCACTCACTCACTCACTAACTCAGTTAATCACTCAGTCATTCACTTAACAGAGCTTAAATGATTCCTTCGCCAATCTGTTCTTACCATAGACCCAGTATCAACCAGGCACTGTATACTATTCTTCAAAATGAAACCTCTGAAATGGTTGTCGCAAATGCCACATATAAATGGATAAATCAAATTTACATGAGAGTTACTTGAATGACTACTTCTCAAAATGAATATCACTTTCAGTGTTCAATTAATATTATGATTCATATTCGTCTTTTTCACATATTAAATCCTTCATATTTTCAACATCTTAGAAAATTTATTCACTCAGTCAGTCACCCAATCCATTCTTTCATTAGTGTTAGTCAAAAGTTATATCAAGAAAAAATATTCGAGTAAAATTTATAACATTGTGCAGTTAAAAAAAGAAATTTCCTTACTATTAGTCAAGATTTAAAATTTTTTATATAGAACATAAAGTAGATACATAATGATTGATCAAATTATTTTGTAACTTCCATGGATAACAAAAATAACACAAGGATTATTGGCACAAGAAAATTTGGGCCACATCAGTTCGTAATTTTTTTCACCTATTCATCTAATAAAATGATGGTGCCATTTTGCTAATACCATTTCATTTCTTTGCAAGAAATTCAATTATATACGTATATATCTACTCTATTTAATTAACCTCGTAACTGCCCTTTTATATTATAAATTGTTTTATGATTTTTATTATTGTAACAAATGAATATACTAATAATGAAGTACAGTCGACTATATCTCTGTATGATTAGGTGATAATTTCTCTACATTTACCTCAACATTACCTTCCATTGGTATTGTAATTCTGGCACCAAAATTTGCTCATTCAAAGCAAAGAGCACAGCTCATTTCTCATGATTGGTTAATAGCAGTAGAAAAGTTGTTCCTATTTATTCGTACATTTTATTTTAGATTTCTATTTTTGAGAGCATTCTGAACTAGAAGACGGCACAAAAATTTTTTAGCAAAGAACATAGAGTAGACTCAAAAAGAACTAACTACTTATTTCATTAGAAACTTCAGAGTAAAAGTCAGCTTAATCAGTCTCATGAACCTTGTCCTGTATCCATCCAGCTTAAACAGTATAACTGTTAATTGAGTAAACACCCATTTCTGTGTGTTTGCAGATGATTTTTGTTGATCATGTCCTGATCGTACCATTTGTTCAGTACAACTTTCTATGTGTCCGTTGATGGAAGTGGGCAGTGGCCTTCACCACTTGGGTAACTGCTATCATTTTCCTACTAAGAAAACTCCTTTCATACTTATATCAACTAAATAAAACTGCCTTTTCAGTACAACTATTTTCTACAAATAACAAATATTTAAATAATTGTTCATTTTCACATTTCATTCTTTACATACAGCAAAAAAATTAGCGACAATAACTTGACTAATGCTACTACTTTCGGGTTTGTTGAAAAATATCCTTCAGTAATTTAATGCTTGATTGTTGCATACTGAGTAATTTAATATATTACTTTTTAGAACCATTAGCTTTTAAATACAAATTTCTTCCAAATCAGAATGAAGTCTTACTTGGTTTTCGTTGAAATAAATTAAAATATTTGAGAAAATGATTTGTGAAAGTAAATGGTCCATTCTTACCAAACAGTAAAAATGCGAAATCAGTATCTAACTGAAAATTTTTCTAAGTAAAAATGCAAAATCAGTAAAATGGGCTAATTGTTTGTTTAACCGCTATATTGACCTTCCTTTAGCGACCCAACACAAGCTGCAGTGCATTGCATTGCCTTCCATTTAATTCGCTCACTTTTTTGATCACGTTAGTTTGTTTTTAAATTTAGACTTAAAAAAAATCATTCACATTTGAAATACTTACAAAATAATTTTAAATTGCTTCATTTCGTCATTTATAACATATTTGTAAATACCAGGAATGCTTACATGCTGATTTCTGTTACATCTAATATTCTCAAACAGTATTGTCGTCTATAAATCATTTCAGATGATTACTTCGGTTCCATACATTTCCAAACTTTCATAAGTCTTTGGAAGTCTTAATATATTCTATTTTCGCGAGCTGCCAAGTTTTACTTTCTACATTATTTTCATCGCTTGGTTATAGAAATTTAATTTGGGAAATAAAACCATGTCGAATGGGAATTGTTTACGCGTATTCAAGATTTCTTCATTTTTTCTCAACATAGTATCCCAATTGATGATGATCGCATCTCCTGCGCTACAAATAGTTCAAAATAATAAAATTCCATCACTATATCCACCAGTACTGAAGGTCATTAGCAAGAATGTTAATATTTTTTTGAAAATTCAATATATATCTTCATAGCTTGCGACTACGAAAAATCCTTTATTTTTTAAACAATATAAGCAAGCACTTGTTAGATTCTGTTATTTGACCATTATTATCAATTATTGCAGTGATTTTCAGTCATAAAAGAAAATTTTAGTTAGTATTAATATTGACTGTAAATTTTTTTGAGAAAAAATTAATGATAAAAATGTGATAAAAAAACTTTACAATTTATGCGCTAAAAATTCTATTTAAGACTTAAACACAAATATCTGAACAGTTAATTAAATAACAGGCTTCATCCCTTGATGGTTATATTGAAGAATCAGCAGAAATGGGCACAACAGTTCGAGTTTTTCCTTCTCTTTTTTCAAATTCGCTTCAAATTGCTGTTTTTGATGATGATCTAGTAATGATTTTTTTAATCGTACATTTGAAAACGTGTGAATTTGATTTATTTGCAGCTTTTTCATTCGTAATTTTCAGTTACTTTAGTTATTTGGTTCTTTACAAAGAAAATATCAAATTTTTTAAATTATTTTCTGCATTATTAACTTATTTTTTGAGTTTAGAAACCCAATATGCCTCCAGCAGTGTATGAATATATATTAACGGGACTAGGTTCATCTATATTTGCTGTCGATCAAAGAGGCTATGTTTACTTAAATGTACCACATATTGACACTGATCCACCAAACCCATCGAAATATGAGCTCAGTGTGAGTAGCATATTTTTATTACAACAACATTTAAGTCAAGAAAGTTTCCATTATAAAAGGAGCTATTAATAGTTAAGCACTTATAGATAGAAGCACGAGAAGTCAATACAATACCTATCCGAAGTAGCGAACCTATATCGATAACAATACATATTCTTGATGTCAACGATAATCCACCACGCTTCAGTTCTTCTGTTTACGTTGCTAACGTTAGTGCAAGTGGTACTGATCGTCCTATCATAGAGGTCATTTTTACAACAAATTTTATCAAAGTGCACAAAAATATAACGAAATGTAAGAGGCCTGAAAATTAAAGTTAGAAAAAATGAAAAAATATTCAACTTTAGGTTGCTGCGACAGATATTGATTCCGGCGAAAATGCAAAAATAAAGTATGGAATAGTATCAGTGAATGGTGGATCAAATCCTAATTTTCGGTACGATGTTAATACAAATCAGCTGATTGCTGTCGGCAATTTGAAAGCTGGTGAACGGTATGAGGTCAGTATGAAATAACATTACTTATAATATGCTTTTTGCATTTTGAAAAAATTTCGAATAAAATTTCAATTAAATTGCATTGCTTTTAACAACAAAATCATGATATAATATTTATAGGTTAGACTTTCGAATTTCCAACTTTACTTTTTAAGATTGTCCGACAACATGATCAGAGCAGGCTGAAAATGTAGATATTTGAAACCTCTATTGTGATAACTTAGTTTCTTGTTCACGAAACTAAAGTTATTTTGAAATTATAAATTGAAAATCAATACTTAAGTTTTCAGATTCTTCTTGAAGCAACTGATGGTGGTGGTCTGTCAAGCCGAACCTTAATAATTGTTTATGCCATTTCTGAGAACCATGCAGGATTTGCAATGGATGAAGAGGGAATAAATTTTGAAAGAAGTCAAATTGCCGGTTTACCCAATTTTTCGGCCTTAGAACCTCAAGTTACTTCTAGCCAACTTGGTATGCAGTTACCTTTGCAATATGTGCTTCGAGAAATGACTTTGTGTCAGAATATCTGTGAAAATTTCAACCCATCATACCGCATTTATTGCTAATAGTGATCAACTACAAAAAATATTTACTGAAAATGGGCGATTATTCACTTATGTCGGTTTATTCACATTTAGTCATGATTAAAGGTCATGCTTGATAAACAAAAGCAAGTAGACTTTATTTTTAGCAAATAATTGGCAAAGAAAATTTATTTTTAATGCTCAAGCAACTTCAAAAAATTGTTCATTTAAGAGAGCGCAGATTCATCAGATACGATTCAAACTTACGTAACTGAAATAAGTGAAGCGACGCCACCACATTCCATTATTGTTACACTTGGAGTAAGTTTGCAAAGGTTTTTCTCACTTGTATAATTTATCGTCATAAAATAATCTTGATAACTTTTCAGAATGAGTCTATGGGAAAACAAATGTATCACACAATCACTGGTGGAAACGAAGATAAAAAATTTGCTCTCAATAGCGAAACGTAATTTTTTACATAATTTACGAAGACAAAATATTTTGACAATTGCTTTTTCGAACTTCACTTTTCAGATTTTTGAATTTTTCCATATTTTTTTTTTTGATAATTAACATGATTTAGTAGTTTTTCAAAACTATATTTCAGTCAAATTTTTTTCAGAGGGACTTTAATTACTGTTGATTCATTCGATCGAGAAAACAAAGCTTTTTATATTTTACAAATCGAAACTCGTGCATTGAATTGGAATCAACATTTGTACTGGACAATTGTTCAGATTGCTATTGTGGTATATTCTTTTACTGTTTGAACAGTTAAAAGAGCAGAAATAAATTTGATACTTTACAAGGATGCTGAATTTTAATTTGCCACGAAATATTAGTAAAATATTTTGTTTAGGACGTTAATGACAATGCGCCCATATTTGTTGATTCCCAACCAATACGATTACGTGTAAGAATCGATGATATACATCAAATCATTCCAAATATGTATCTTGGACAGGTAAATGTGGAAGATGCAGATGATGGTGACAATGGTAAGGTGGGACTTCGAATCGCACCTCCTATGGATAAGTAAGTTTTTGAATAGCGAAGTTAACATAAACATGTATATAGATATTTTTAAATATATGATAATTGTCAATTTTCAAAATAATTACTAAAAAAGTCAATTTTATATTATATTTTAACCTTGCTGAATTTTATTTAGAATGAAAATCATGCAATAGAACAGTGCACTACTAAATATTTATAGCAAGCAGAGATTGGTCAATATTCTAAAAAAAGCATTATAGCTATGTCGTTTCAGACTATTCTTGATTAAAGACAACGGTGCTGTGATGGTAAATGGCAATCTCATGAATGGTCATTTTGGTGAGCATCGAATGACTATAATTGCAGTTGATCATGGTGATCCACCACTTGAAACTCGAGCTACTCTAATTATCAACATAGAAAATGCTTTGGAGAAAGCAACAATTGATTTGGTTTGTTTTTCTATCACAACAAATCTTATTACAGTCGAGAATCATTCAAGTTAATTATGTAAGCGTTTATTAATTGTAGTTATTTGTGATTAAACAGTCTAAAAAATTATTTTCATAACTTTAAAGTCATTTAAACATATTTACAATTGAATTAATTTCGAATCAGATATTCGGTTGCGTATTTTTAATGCTTTTTATATATTAATGAAACACAATCAAGACATATATTTACATTTTCATTAATTTTTTTCTTTATAATGAAAATATTTTAGAATCAACTAGCAGCAACATCAAATACTTTAGAGAATACAGATTATGCAGAAAATAGTGTTGATTTCTCGCAGAGTATTCAACGCACATTTCATCCTATATCATCAGGTACTTCTGCATTGATGCTTATAGTGCTTACTGAATTTATGAAAAATCCGTGCGTTAAAATTATCAAATCCAACAGTTTTATAATAAATACTTTAAAGAAAGTATTTTTCTACCAAAAACAAAAATTGCAGAAACTCTATCCATTTCGATGAAAAATGCACTACCAGAAAGCACTATCACAACACCTATACGAAAAGCAACAACAAACGAACCGCTCTCAAGACTTGCTCCTGTATTCGATCCATCTAAATTCACAATCGTCGTCGAACGAAATCAAACAAATACTGAGATTGCTAAACTGCATGCCTATTATTTAGATGACCAGCCTGGAGGAATTGCATATGTCATGCTTGACGGCGATCAATCGCTTTTCAGGTTATTAGTCAATAATTTTTTGACTATTGTCATATGCTAAGGCAGTTTCCATCCAGATAATGATAAAATATCTTAATTTATTCATTAAACTGCACTCTTTTATGAATTGTATCATAAATGATTTGCTTCTATGAAGCATTCACTGGTCACTCAGCTCAAGATTCTTATTAACCTGAAAATTTTGTCTTTGCACTAGCACTTTCATAGATTAAAGAGTCAACCTAGTTTAAAAAAAAAAATAATAAAGCAACAGTTCTAACATTAGAAAGACTACTTACGGGATCTGAAAAAATACCAGTTAAACGATCAAAGAATGCCAAACTGCATTTACCATTCTTTTATCCATTGCCTATCATGAAAATAATAAAACTGAAAAGTTTGACAAATAATAGTAAAAATTAACCAATTTAAATTATGTGGTTTTAAGCATTAAATTTATTACAGTGTAAATAGCATCACTGGATCACTTTTTTTACTGCGGCCAGTTGAAGCAGAAGAAGGAAATTCTTTTGATATACGTATAAGCACTGCCGAGGTTGTTTATCGTCTTTGATCAGTATTATGATGCTTACATCTGTCCTTACAACTTTTACAAAATTTATATTATAACTTTAAAAATTTATTCCAGGCGACCATATTACGAACAGAGCCAAATTTGCCACACACAGCAGTAATTACCGTAGATATTGCCGATACGGAAGACTGGATGCTTAATTTCAAGCTCAATAAGTATCAGTTTAAAGTGAATGCCAATGCTAAACTTGGTTCTGTCATTGGTCAAGTTACTGCACATGATTATGATATTGTTGTTAGTTGTTTAAATTTATTTCAAAATTTTAAGCTATTATGAATTTTAGTAATATTTTTTTGCAGATATAAAATTATTAACAAATAGTGGTAGTTGTATACAATACTCTCACTCCAAATTTTCAACGTGAATTGTTTGCTTTTTTATTACAGATGAGTAAATTAAAAAACTGATATTTTATATCAAGTACTGCATGAGTTTCAGAATCCAAGCAACAAAGTTCGTTACAGAATTAAAGGAAGTGACACTAATGAATCATATTTCAAAATAAATCCTCAGACTGGTTTACTAACTGTTAATAAAGACCTTCATTCATCTTCTAATCGAAAAATATTGGTAATATATTATTTATTGAAATTTTTGTAGTAATCAGTAACTATGTCTTGCAATATTTAATCATACATTTAACATCGAAAAGAAATTGTAAAAATTATTTCAGTTGAATATTGAAGCAGAAGATGAAGAAATTCCAAATCAAATTGCTGAAACGTTTGCATTAATTGATGTGGAACCTGAGAAAATGCTTGCTTTACCAAAAACAGAATCAAAATTAACTGCAATACCTTTGACAAATAAATTGCAGTTTTCACAGTTGAATTATACGTATGTTTCATGAATATACAGAAGCAAATATTCAAAATAAAATACTCATATACTTACTTCTGTTTTGCAGAATTCATCTTTCTGTGCATTCACCACACTTATCGACAATTTTACCTGTGTACAACAAGCCCGCAGACGAGCATATTATTGCATGTTCCATTATTTCTGGCAATTATGAAGGTAACACTTTTTTCATCTCTCAGAACAAGTCTGTAAAATTTTCTAAAAACAGTCATTTCTGGTATAAATTACATAATTGTTGTTTATTTCTCAAGCAACGAGAAAATCAAGTCAAAAATATTTAATTGCTTCACGTCATTTCAAAGTCCAGATCATTTTTGACTATGGCAGTGTTGCAATAATGGTAATGTGATTCTCAAGTGCATGAAACGAGTGCGTTTATAATATTTTATATTTCAAGATTCAGTGGAAATTTCGTTTAGTGGACTTTATAGATTATTTTTTGTAGGGATAAAAGTTTTAGGTCTTTTCACCATTTCCTCGACTGCCGATGGTAACTGTGAGCTTCAAGTTCAGACAAATATTAATCAACAAATATTAGATTACTACCAACTAAATGTAAGCGTGAAAACGGAGAACCAAGTGGACTATGCCACTGTCACTGTAACTATCGTTGACGCAAATAATGATGGTCCAAAATTTATTTACAAAAACAATGAATACAGTGGCTACTTTTCCATCCTGCACAATGCTGCTCCGTCATTTACGCATGTTGTTACTGTGAAAGTAATTCTACTTCTATCAAAAAAATTGAGCGTTTTTTAAAAATTCGTGATGTGTACAGTCTCAAATACAACACTACAAAAATTCTGTTTAGGAGTAGTTTAAAATTTACGCTGTTTAATAGCTTATCTGCTTATTCCCTTCGTAAATACTTTTGTTTATTTCATATTAATTCAATTTTTGGGACTACAGGCAGAAAATTATAATCCTTCGAGCAATAACAGTATTGAATACTCATTGAATCTATTTACATCGGATTCGCAGTATTTTATTATTGATTTTAATGGAGAAATTCAAACACGATTAGATGTGCCTCAAATTATAGAGAAAAGTCAAAAAGATTATTTTAGTTTCCAAGTTAGTTCTTTTTATCACACTGATTTTATTTTTTTAATTTTGCATAATGTACAACAAATTAGCGGTACCAAATGGGTTTGCTTACTATTTCATAACGCTTAATTAAGACAAAAGGTTGTTATAATAAAGTATTATTTTATCTTTTATAGGAATTTTAGATAAGAGATTGCAAAAGTTTAGGTATTTTTAGGTGATTGCTTGTGATGGTTTTCTCAGTGAAGAAAAATTGTGTTCAGAAGCTGACGTTTTTGTGAATATAGTAAATGATTCTAATTTATTTATTTTAACCGCTCGTAACATTCAACCGCATCAACTGGAAGTTGCTGAAAAAGTGAAACTTACTTTTTTTAACTCACGTCAATTATAATGTTGAAACTTGGCTTTGATAACATCATGCATTCAAAAATATTGATATGAATAGTACATGCCAATTAAACAAATATATATTACTAAAGAAAATAGCATATTTAAAGAAGTGGTAATTTCATAGATTTTCTTGGCCTTTCAGGAAATTGCCAGCATATTACAGAAATATACTTATCCTTGCAATCTCCTTTTCTTAGAAAAATTAGAAGAAAGATACGATAATGTGGAAAATGCCAATTATATCAATATGTTCTGGTGTGCTGTAAATCCAGTCTCAAAGAGAAGCTGTCATACTAAGGAGTACAGGTTATTGTGATGCATTGTCATGAACTATATTTTAAAATATTAAAATCATTTCCTGATAACTTAGTAAGAAAGTATTTGACTTGTAGTGCATATTTTCAGCACACTTTTCAATCCTTTAACAGTACAGGCAATTACGGCTCAGTTGCAGTCACAAATTATTCTCAGTAATATCAGTGATAATGTTAACAGTAGCCAAAATGTATTTGGAAAAAATGCACCGTCCTCGAAAAATTTGAAGACTGCTTCTTTTGGTTTGTTTCTGCAATTTTCAATATTCCACTCACTTTCACTACTAACTCTATAAAGATGATAAGTCTTAGATTTGTTTTAAATTTAAAATTCTTAAATTTTAAAACTTTTGATTATATTTATGATTACTTCTGCAGCGATGATTGTAATAGCAGCAGTAATCGCAGTTGGAGCATTAATTGGAATTTGTTTCATTTGCTTGTGCTACACACGATATCAACTCAAAATGCGCCCAAAACATAATAGTTATCCAAATATTAATCAAATCCCAAAATTCGGCACCGTATTTTTGCCAAGTCCACCGAATGGTAGCTCTCATGACACTCTTTATGAAACTCAAGTAAGACATCTCAATGTTTGCTTAATGTGCTTATTTTTACATTACTAAAGTCATGTTGGAACTACCGAGTTAAAAATTTCGTACCTTCTTACTTAGAATCAAAAAAATTAGAAATAATCTTTTACAATTATACGAAAAGCATTTTATTCTCAGATGCTCGAAATGCCTCTTGGAGAAGAAGATGTAATGATTAAAGGTGCTGAAATAGGAATGAGAAATGGGGGAATGTATGATTTGAATAATGCGCAAAGTTATCGAAATCATATCCCGAAAGGTGCATCAGAAGAGGGTAACTTTTCAATTGAAGAAAACATGTATGCAATCAGTGGACAAACTCGACTTAATTCTCAAAATAACAAGTTAGTAAGTTTGAATCAATAAAAAATACTTTCGTGCAAATACTGCATTGAAATATAATATCAAACTCTACCTGTGACTGTTTTATTTTCAGAAAGATGCAAAGGGTAGTGATACCTTGTCCAGATTATCCAGTAGATCAGAAAAAAAGTGTCCTATGAGTAGATCTTAATTCTTCTGTCTACTCTGTGATTTAAATTGAAAGATTGTTTGAAATTATTTCACTTGCAGCTCCATGCTTTTCTTTATTCTTTGTTTTGTTAGCATTATTTTCAAAATTATAATGAGTAAACATAGTTTAAAAAACAACGAAGATCCAGAAAATTGTGTTGATTCAGTTTAAAACTGTATATTTATTTCAATATAAAAAAAACAATAGTTATTTTTGTAACTTTCTCGTTTTTGTTGTCATGCTTAATCGGTGTAAAATTATTTGAAGCTTTCCAGCTCATTTTTAGTAATTATTTCGGTTTGAGTGAAAATCTACTTTTAAGTTTTTTGAGATACATTTGTAGAAATTAAAAAATTTATTGATTACAATATGCTGTAATATAAGTTGTTCAGTACACTATATATAATATCGTACTGCTTTCGTTTTCAACACGAAAATAATGCTTTATGGAAAAAAATTCCTGCATTCTGTACTAATGAAAATCATTGTTTGGTTTACTTCATTAGTGAATTTCTCAGTACTTTTCACAAATTGACACGTGTTAAGCAATTAAAGTGTATTTAAAAAAAATTCATGACAATTAAAATGCTTCTGAGTGTTCCTCAATCACTATCATGCTGCCATGCATGTCAAGATGCTAAATTAACAATGAGAATTTTTTCTCGCATCAGAATATTTATTAGAATGGCTCAGAAATCACTTCCGGAAAGTCAATAGTATATAAGCATTCAAATTTTGAATTTTGCTACAGTAAGGTATGAATAAATATTGACTTTGCATAGTTTTTAATTATTATTTATTTGGTTACATATTAATCATCATTTTGAATACTTAAAATTCAAGCACTTGGGCCTTGATCATTATGCGATACTGAGAATTTTTTAGATTAGTTTTATTTTTAACTTGTGAGTGTTACTAAAGAGTATGGCGTTCTTAAATTTAATTTTCATTCATTATTTAATAATGAGTGAAAATCTTACAACTAAAAGTGTTTACGATTGCTATCCACGATTTTCTTCTGTAGTGTACCTCTTTTAAAAGGTTCATCATTATCGTCGTCATCAGTTCGGGATCGTTTACATATACAGCACATCATTAAAAACGTCCCGATAAATATCAATATTATCCAGTACAATGCGGCTCCTCCCGATAATACTTCAATTATAATATACAGATAAAAGTTTTCAGCATCTTAAAATTGTAGTTCTTTACTTGCTTGGCAACAAAATTTTTAATAGTTAAGAAATTTACAAGCAAATTGGAAGAAGAATAATGATATTATGATATTCAATCAGTAAGAATAAAGAGGCAAACCCATGAATTCAGGGCGCTTGTATATTGGTATCATCGTTGAGCTTTCTCTGTGATGAGAGCTATCCTGATATTGGTGCGAAATATCTGGGTCAGAATTCAGATGCTCTTTTTCTTCTCGATAATCCAAACTTACTTCTCGCTTATCAATCTTATTAAATCTATGAACCAAAACAATGTTTTTTTTAATAGGAAGTCTAACACATTTTTGTGTATTGGCGGAAAAAATTAAATTTCACGCTTTTTATACAGGAAGAAATGAGTCTTTGTAAAATATCGTACTGAGTTCGGATTTTGCTCAAATTCGCCACTTGTTTAACATGCTTTTAGTCATATAACAAAGACCAAATTTTTGATTATAATATCATTTTAAAAAAACTGCTCTTATAATAATAGCTCATCAACACTAATAAATTATGCATAAGATACTTGTAATATTAAAAGACTATAAAAGATCTTTTTTTATTGCAAAATAATAATTCATACAGTTGCCGTTCATGGTAAATAATGTCCTTGTGAGCTTTTATTTCCGTATTTCTTGAAGGCACTGCTAAAGTAAAAATATGTTAAGTGAAACTGGGGTTTATTAAAAAGAAGTTATAGTATATAAAGCGATTTATTTGAGATTTATGAGAAAGGTCAAGTAGAGCTTATGCATAGAACCAATTAATCAGTTGTTTTAACTTTTTATTTTTCCTAGTCTAAATTGCGAGTTTCTTGAAGTTTCTCTTTACTTTGCAAATATTTGGAAATTGACCTGATGTAAATGAGGCGTGCGAAGTAAAAATGGCAAGTAGAAGCAGCCACATCTTTTTCAAAAAAGTGATCAAAATATTGTAAGCTTGAAAAATTTTTACTTTTATTAACAACCTTTTCATGCAAGTTTTTAATTTTAAAAATTTACAAATTTTGATCTTAAAATATGATAGCATCATTTACATGTAAACAAATTTTCGCTAGACTTTATTGAGGTTACAAAGGTTTTGATTTCATTTTTTGTGCTCAGAAACAGTTGAAATCAGTTATGACAATGGAATAATGACGGCTCCAATTCAGTACACTAATCAAGCTCCTTTCTTTTCTTTAATCTAGAATTTTTATTGCCACTAAACTTTTTTCACTGTCAAGACTAACATGTGCAAGCTAACTCTTTTGTAAGTTCAAAACTTCTTATTGAAAAACTTCATGTAAAAAGAATAAAGCTTGATCAGTTGGAATAAACTTCAAATTCTGATTTCACTCAAAATAAAAATCATAAGTATTCCTACATCAAAATTTTAAGTTTTTTAATTAAAAATACTTACAAAGTCATTAAATTTTATTTTATTTTTTTGATTCTAAATGACTCTGATGAAGTTTTTTACTGATAAATATACCAAGTATAGACAGTCTAAAGTACACTCTAACTTCAGCATGCAGTGAACAATAATAGCTTTACATAATTACTACTTTAAAAATTTGTATATATATTTGTGTATTACAGCTGTCAACCCTTGTAAAGCAAAATAATTTTCATAAAAGAAAAATTATTGCCCATTTTAAAATTGCCATCGCTTAATGACATTATTGAAAGCGTGATTAAATATATATATATATATATATATAT